TCAACGTTTTGAATTATCTTTCTCCTCCATCTATGTGATTCATCCTAAGAACTGTGTATACCAGACCAGGGAATTAAAGTTCTAGATTTAGCTTCATATTACATGTCAGTGATAGCCCCAAATGTGGCTTCAGAATAACTTATCAATGAAAAAGTTTTTGTGGTAAGCCAAGAAAACTAGATTATGACGGAGAAGATGTGATTCTCATTTCAGACTCTGCTACTAATTGCCCATGTGACTTTACAAAGTTTCTGAAACTTTGTAAACGTTCATGACATGAACTTTCAAACGAATTTTGAGGATTAAGTGTAATGTTTCATATATATATAGAATATATACATCGGTATGTGTTTTATGTTCTCATAAAACATCATATATATTTTTATCTTTGACTCACTTATCTTAATGCATTGAATGTACAGTTATGAACATTAGAACTCTTAATCAGTCACCTAGGCTCTAATTTAATAAAGGAATTTCTGGAATCTATATCCAACTGCTGAGATACATCAAAATCCATGTGATCTTCTATTTAAAACATAAATGTTTTAGTGTCTACAGGAAAAAATACGAATGCATCAATTTATGTCTTGAATGGAGTATGAAACATGCTGTTGTGGTTACCGGTTTATCCATCCTGCATGATTTATTCATAAACAGTGTAAGACTAGATAATCTATAGCATGGCAAACAAATGTGCCCTGGTTTTGTTCAGATCATTTCTCTAAGCAGATACTTATCATAGATCCCTCGAAGTAAAACAGATGTTGCACTGTTGAAAGTCTTGGGAATACATGTTATGAGAAGACTCTGTATGTCACAGAACCCACAGTAGAGGTGAAGGGCTTGGCTCCTATTTGAATTTATATATGCTTTAGCCATGAGATTTCATTAAACCTTAGTTGACAACTAAAGAGACTAGTCTTTACTCTTTTTTATCAACATGGCCATACTGGTACCGGCATGGTAAAATCCCAGCAAATCTATGCATAGAAGAGACAGCATATTTAGCCTGATTAAAAGAGTCAGTGGGTCCAACCCACTGATCAGTCCTTGCAAGGACTTTATGGAGCTCTGCCCTGTGGGGAATCCTGGTCACTGCTGCTGATGACTGTCTTTGACTGTGTTTTAGAAATATGAAATATTCCTCTACTTCAGAGACCTCTGTGAACATTATAGAATATTACTTATCATTCATCTATCAAGTATATTTATTTAGAGGCTACCATAAGTCAGGTACTGTGTAAATCATAGGAGATTCAAATATATAGAAGTCCAGACCCTGTTCACACAAAATTTATTGTCTAGTAGAGAAGTTGCATGGCATAATAGAAATACCCCTTATACTAGGAATTGGGAATCCTGGGATATAACTCCATCACATGTAGTGGTTATTTGATAAATATGGGCTTACTTAATGAATGAAAGAATATGCAAGTGTACAAATGAATAAAACAAATATATAAACATTTTGCTGTCAACTGATATTAGGTTACTTAGCTTTTTAAACCCTCCTCCCCTAGGGCCTTCCAATAACACTTTAATTAAATCAAATTCCTTACCCCAGCATAAAAATCTCTTCTTTCCTGGACACTGCTTTCCATTTTCTCACTAGCCCACTATACACCAGCTATTCCTGGCTTTCGTTTAGATCTTCTACTTCACATCTTTGCACTAGCTCTCCAGACATCTATATCCTCCTGTTCTCATCTTTACCTGATGGATATCTTTTTTTTTTTTTTTTTTGGCCATTCAGTGCCCATTTTAAATTCCACACCATCTGCCTGTTAAAGGAGTTTCAGTAGGTAAGTTTTAATTTTATTCCATTTCAGTAACTTTTAAAAATTTTGAGGGCAGCAGAAACAGGTAAGTGATTAGGTGTTTTGTTTAAAAGAGAGTTAAGTGTTCTGGACCCCACATGGCCTTCCCACAACCCCGCTGCAATCAGATGGACCTTGAGGCCCTGACCCAGACTCCAGGGCTTCCTACCATTTATTATATTCTATATCCAAATTGAATGCTTCCCCACACTTAGGTGTATTTGAAGAAGCAGAATAAGAGCATAAGACGTAGGCATAGGCAATCTAGTTGACTTAAAGCATCTCGTAAGATGCTACACACTTCCTGGCCACGCTGATGAGCCATCTGGTAAGTGACCTCAGAGCCATAGAGGGCTAGAATTCTCTTCATTCTTCCTCAATCAGGCAATGAAAAAAATACAGGAAGATTTTAGGGATAGGCCATTCCTTTGAAGAAGAGCATTATAAATGGGCAAAGACAGGGCATCGGGCAGGGTGCAATGGCTCACACCTGTAATCTCAACATTTTGGGAAGCTGAGGCAGGTGGATCACCTGAGGTCTGGAGTTCAAGACCAGCCTGACCAACATGCAGAAACCCCGTCTCTACTAAAAATACAAAATTAGCCCGGTGTGGTGGCGCATTCCTGTAATCCCAGCTACTTGGGGGACTGAGACAGGAGAATCACTTGAACCCAGGAGGCAGAGGTTGTAGTGAGCCAAGATTGCACCACTGCACTCCAGCCTGAGCAACAAGAGTGAAACTCCATATCAAAATGAAAAAGAGCATTGGGGAAGCACTTCCTGAAGAACACAGTCTTCACATGCAACACCATTCAAAGGAAAAGCCCATCTGGCTCCCTAGCTTGCTTAAAATATCCAGCTGTCAATAATAATCTATAAAAATGCAAATCAGAAACACACAGAAGAATTCTTCCTAGACATCCAAAATTAAGTTACATTACTCCAAACTTCAAGAGTAGAACCCTACCAAATTAGCATGGGACAGAAGGAAGGAACATGCCACAGAAAATGCTTGTTGGTCTTAGAGCAATCCCTATTCAAAAATAAACATGGAAAAACACATATATACATTTGCCACTGTGGATTCTACAAAAAAAGACAACAATACCTTCTAGGAAAGGAGCTTTTCCATGTGGATGCAGATAAGGAGGATATATTTGAAATTTTATTTTTACATGAGACAAAAGCAAGATGTAGAACTCGTTTGCTATCCCCCAAAACTCTGTAAAACAGACACTGTAAAAAAGAATCAGAGTGTCACAGGAAAAATTATTCTGAGATGAATGAAGAGATAGTTAGGAAACTGGCTGAATTAAGGGATTAACCAGGGAAACCCAAAACCCAATGGTAAAGTGAAAGTCCATTATTTGAGGCAATACAAACAGAGGTAAAACTGCAAAAATGCAAAAGAATAATGTGGAAGAAAATTTAAATATTTCTCAGTATTTAGAGGAAAAAGTAGAACAGAAGATGATGGACATGGAAGACTATTTAGATCCAGATGAAGTGTTACTGGGGCAGGAATAGATAATTTGTCACCAAAGAATTAAAAAAATCGAAATTGCCACAGAGAAAGAAAGACCTTTTAAGTCTGATAGGCTTATAAGACTTTAGGTAAAAGGGCTTAGGGGAAACCAAATGAAATAATTTTTTTAGTGACTAGAAATATTAGGGAGTTCTATTGTGTTTTAAATCTCAACGATAAATTTAGGATCCTACAAAAATGAGAAGAAGAATGAAACCTTATCTTTAAAGTAGCAAAAATAAGGCTGGCCTCACCCTTCTTTGCTAACTCAAATAAATGTCAGTAGACAATGAAACAATTTGTCCAGAGCAATGACCAGAAAAGTTTATAACTTAAGAGGTTTATGACCTAGTTGTTCATGTAAAAAGTTTGCAGGAAGACATTTTACTAAGCTTAAAATCATAAAAACATTAATCATTCTTATTCTCTTCGTGAGAAAGCACAGGAAAAATGAATATGTGTCAACTAATAAAGAAAAACAGAAATCAAGAATGCAAGACTGCAATAGCTAAACTATAAAGAAAATGTCAAGGAACTTTGAAATCAATTTACTTTTTAGGAACGCACATGAAGAACGATTGTAACATGGGCACAAAACAAAATTCAAAGTCCAGGAAGGTTACATATTTTTAAAGATCAGGATTTTATCATAAAACATTCACAGCATTAACACCAGGTAAAAAGGAACAAATACTGATAAATGCAGAGAAGTAGAAAGTCAAGAAAAGCCCAGTTAATTTACACTTCTTATTAGAAACTTGTTCTTGTTTGACAGAGGAATATAGGATTTAGTACACAGTTTATAAACAAAAGGATTATCACTACAACAATTAATGAAAATATTTCAACCTTCCAAACCTCTATTTAAGATGAAAAGAGACAAAACCCAGAAAAAGGAAAAAGCAAGAAAGCATTAAACAAAGTTATAAAATTAAGCCCAAATGTACGTTATAGCAACAGATGTAAATGCCTTAAATTTTCCTAATAGCTGTTACAAAATCAAATATATACAGATGACCAAAAACCTTTAAATAAAATTTAAAGGATAATTTTAAAACTGAAATAATAGTAAGTGAGAAAGAATTGCAAAAAACAATGATGGCAACAACATGAAAGGCAGAAAGCAGTATCTGGAAAAAGAAGATAATATTTTGGGCTGAGAAAAGGAATCCTCTGCAATGAAGATGTAAAGGCCATATCACTTAGGATACAGATGATATATTCATCAAATACCAAAATCTATTTAGCAGTAACTACCAGAAATAATGAATTGAAAAATATTATACAATTGTCAGCCTCTGACAGATTAAACAAATATTAAAAGGAATGAAATATTTGAGTATCATAGTTATAAATAAACTTACATATACATATATTACCTTATACTCTTCAGAAAGAAAATATAAGTTCTTTTCAAATACCCGAGGCATTTTTAAATTTACCAATTAATTTAGTATATTTGAAAAAGTTCTTGAAAGAAAAAAATCTGTAATCTCAAACTTCAATTTAATAAAACTAGAATGTCAGAAATAAAAGTAAAAACTAAAATAAATTGGAGATTTCCTCAATAAATGTTAAATCAGAAATTAAATAAACATCAGTTATACCTACTTTGGAAATGAATAAAAATAAGCAAATTCATGTCAAGACTTACAGAATATAGATTCAGAAGTAACAAAGCAGGTAAGCCTGTGAATAGACAGGAGATAGCTAAAATTAATTAATTAATCAGCTTAAAGAGTCATAAAATAAGAGAACTGGCACAGCAAAAGGCTAAAGAAGAAAAATGCATATAAGCAAAAATCATGAAAAATGGAAAATGTTAAAATAGGTTCTCTGGGAAAACCAGAAAAGGAGAAGAATCTAGAGTCTTATTTAAAAAAAAAATACAACTAAAGAATGAGAATTTAATAAATAATATCAAAAGAGATATTGGAATATTTCAGAGCACTAACATGTCAACGGGCAGCATTTTTCATCTACCCAACTGGTAAAGTTGGAGAGAAAATACCTACTGGCTAGAGAATGATTATGCTACCATTGGAATGTAAATTGGAAACAGCGTATTTGGATCAAAATGTTTCATTATGTATCAAGTGCCTTAAAAATATTCATACTCTTTTACTAAGTAATTACTTGTTAATTTATGCTAAGAGAGATATTAAAAATTTGGATGATTTATGTTTTTATAGTACCTCCATATGTTGGGACATTAAGGAGCTGTTAAAAAAATTGCCTTTGAAGATTATTTTATGGCATGGTAAATGCACCCTATAATGCCTGGTATAAAAGAGAAGGATGTAAAACTAAATATATAGTGTGAATTCTATTTAGTGAAAAGCAAAACATAGATGACAACACACTGACATGTTAACTGTAATTATTTTATGCAGTTGTATTTTTGGTTATTTAAATATTTTCTATATGCTTTTCAATAGTTTCCAAATCTATGTTAATGAACAACTATTCTTTTACAATCAAACTCTGTAAAATGAATGTAAAAGATTTCTCATCAAGATAACATTGTAAACTTACAAATTCCTTTTCCTTGATACATCACTAAAAGCAATTCTAGCTGAAATTTCAAAAATTAAAAGCTATATCTATACCCAATACAAGATGTGTCTTGTACACCAGAAGAGTACTGAAACAGACATCAAGGAAAAAGTGCTGAACCATGGGGTTGTTGAACTCTAGGTTAGAAACAGACAAAGGCAGAGAAGGCTGTCACTGAACACTACCGAATTAGGGCTGCAAGCCTGACTCAGCATAAAACTCATAGGGTCTCCCAAACAGAGGGGGTAAAATGAGAAAAAAATAAGGCTGTGAACGGTATCACTATGTACATGTGAGACAGGAAGGAAGAGAGCAAGTCACACAGATCAGATTTGTCACAAGCTGCTAGGTACTGGATCTGCAATAGCCCCAATCTATGAGACAGAAATCCCAGCCCACTAACATAGAACTTGTTTCTGGTCTGAGATTCTCAGGGAGCCACATGGAAGCTACTGAAAAGCTGTAAAACATGATAGATATTTAACGATTTATTTTTAAAGATAACTTTCACTCTAGATGAGCAAGCAACCTAAAATTCAAAACCAATAAGGAAAAACAGAACCAAGAAGATATCCACAAAACTCAACAACAGAGGACAATTTGACTACAGAAAAAAATGCACATAATTGTCTCTGAATAACATTAAAATACTTAAAAAATAATATCCTTTTGAATAAGAAAGGATTATGTAAACTGGAAGACATACATTGAGAAAAATGACTAATAACCAATATAGAAACTAGAATATAGAAATAGTATAATTGAAATTTCAAAACTTTATAGATGAAATTAACCCAACAGTTTTCTTGGTTTAAGAGAACACTAGTGAACTGGAAGACAGTACTGAGGAAATAATTCTGAGTACAGCACTGAGACATCATGAGGTTAAAAAAGAGAGAGTGAGAGTGAGAGAGAGAGAGAGAGAGAGAGAGACAGAAATTAAGTAGTATGGAGTCTCCAACATATACCATATACAATTTCCAGAATTAGGCCACAGCAGGAATACTGAGAAGCAATTTAAACAGCTAACAGCAGAGAATATTTCCATAACTAAGGAAAACCCTAAATTCTCACACTAAAGGCACACATCAACTCAGCTGAGCATAGTAAATAAAGACCACTCTGCACCTAAAAATACTGCAAGGCAGGTCTGGCCAAAGGGCTCTGAGTGGAAGCTGACATGTGCCACTACCTAACCAAAGCAGAAGTAAGTGGGTGTAAGATGTGGCAGCTCCAACCTGCCTTTTCTTGAGATGAAAACCTGGATCTGTGAGTCACCAAGTGGACTGAAAGAATCATGCAATTACATAGCTCACTTTGCACAAGACTTTTGTGTGCTAACCTGCTAGGTTTCAGAAGTACTAGTTACTAGCTTAACTTAATAAAACATCATTATGAGAAACACATAAACACGGTTAGAAGATATTAAGAAAAACTTAAATTTAGAAGAAAAAGCAGCACGATTAGCAATCTTGACATGAAAGATATCTGTAGAACTTAGGAAATAGTGACAAGAAAATAAGCCTCTTTCATGTTCAGTACAGACACAATTATTTTTCACATATTTTCGATCCATGAGTTGAATCCATATATGAAAAAGCATGGATATGGAGGGTTGACTACATATCGGTATGCATTGCAGCTTTGCTTACAATAGCAAAAATTTGGAAATGATCATCTGTGTAGGAATGAATAAACAGCATCAAATGTATAGGATAGGGTACTGCACAGCAGTTAAAATGAGTGAACTCAAACATAGATAATTCTCAAAAATACAATGTTGATAGAATAAAAACACATTGTCAAAAGGTATAGTGTAACACTATCATAATAATTTTTAAAGGTATTAAAACAATGCCCTATACTGTTTATAGCTGTATAAATATCTATGTAATAGAAGGATGATAATGTACTAGCTACACACTAAATGCATGACAACATTTGCTTTGGGGAAACTGGGTCTAGGGAGAGGAATGTGAGGGACTTCAGTTATTTCTAAATATTTTATTTCTTAATAAAAATGATCTGAAGTCAATATGACAAAATGTTAGTACTTTTTCATATTCAGTTGATTAGGGAAGCATGAGTAACATTACATTTTCCTCCACCACTTTAATTTTTAAAAATGTTTAATGAAAAAGGCAAACAAACGAAACCTTTTCTTGTTTCCTTCCACTCCAAGTTGTCACTAGTCTATTTTTTTGGAATGCAGCAAGTCTTAAATTTGATCCTTGGCAGGAATGGAATAAGATATTATCCAAGGAGGGACTCCAACTCAAACCTCTCCCTCTGTGTAGTCTCACCAATCTGGTTTGTTGAACTTGTTTCCTGGAGAACAAATCCCATCTATATTTTCAAGGCTTTCCCAATGGGCAGTGGGAATGATATAAGCTACAGCACGGCTGTGATTAACTCTGGCAAATGAAGAATTTACTGCTGTACATGTGTCCTGAGTTTAAGTAACAGACAAATAAACATCCGTGATGACCTGCATCTGCAGGGTCAGAAGCAAACAGACCTCTGAGAGGAGTCAGAGCCCTGAAGAATGTTAATGCTTCGGAATCAGAACCTGCTCTTGCCAAGACCCTAAGCAAAGAGGGACTGTGCTGGTTAGATCGCAGCAGAGGTCTTTTCTAAAGGCAGGCAGTACAATTAGAAAATGTGATCACTGCCTTTCAGGAGAGAGGATGAAACTGACCAGCCTTCTGTTCTTTATTATTCACAAAATCCAGGGGCAAATTATCTGATATCAGCTACCAGATCATGGAGAAGGATGGGTATTCCTGGGAGAGTTAATGGCTTTTGATCACCACATGCCTTCTAGATTCCTTGAGGACCTGTGTCGTACTGTACCAAGTTCCCCATAGTACATGGCACCATACTTTGTCCTTCATAGGCACACTATATATGCACACACGGTGGGAATACCTATATATGCATATTAATATATATGTCTATGGATAGGTATGGATATATATGGATATACATATATGTGTACACATAAACATATTCACATATACATATATGTAGATATGTACATGAATATAATTATATAATTTAAATATATTACAAATATATTCACATATATATACATTATAAACACACATATAGAACACATACACATACATACTGTTCCAAACTTTTTTTCCCCCTTGTCCTCCTTCCTGGCATATGTATTTTATAGAGTTTGGCCTTTGGTTAATATTATTCACCATCTTGGGTTCCACTGTCTCTAACAGGCTCTTGCATTCTCCTTCAACATGTGACAGGGCAAGCTCTGAGCTGAGGGCAACCTAAGCCTGTGCTTGGTTGGATGTGTAACCACACCATCAGCATAGATCCTTTGGGACTAGCAATACCAGAGAGAATAGAATGGATTTCTAAACAAGCTGGGCTGCAGGCCAGCAAACAAGCTACACATTATTGATGTACTTTTAAAACAAAATTGAGATTTGAACCCAGTATCAAACTCTCTTGCCTCTTGAGAATGGTCACCTTTCCACATCCACACTGAACTCAGACCAGGGCTTAAGCCCAGCTTCTGTTACTCACTTCTACAATAGCTTTTGTGATCCTCACTGAACAATACCTCCTCTTTCAGCTGTGTTCTGAGCAAGCACTGTGTACTCATTTGCTGGGCTGAGCCAGGGTGAGGCCTTAAAATAAAGAGATCAAAGTCATTGTCCTCTGAATCAGCAGAGGCTTTCTATGAGGTTCAGATGAGGTGAAAGTGATCTAGGCCAGAGGAAAATCGCACCCCTCAACTCCCTTTTCTGTAACACCAGCAGGTTTTCACAGAGGAAAGGCAAAGGCAAACACCCTACCCAGAGAATAGCTGAACAAAGCTTTGGTTTTGTGGAATGGGAAGCAAAGGCCTGAGAAGTGAAAGCCTATCCATTCTGTTGTCATGTTAAAAACTAAGGCGAGTCGGCTCATTCACTCAGTCTTCCATGGGGCTTTCTTTCATCCAAGTAGAAGGATTTCTTGTCCATACACCCACCCTCAACAGAAATTCTCCTTCCTCTCTGGTTTAGGTCATCCAACCAAAGCCTACTATAGACAGGAGGCTTCCCAACCTGCAACAGTATGTATGCTACATTCCTCAAGGTCAGGCTTAACTCCAAGCCATTTAT